TGCGAATGAACTTTGTTATAAATGTTGGAATTCATGCTATCATGGAAAGGAAAAATTAGGGGAATAATTTAGTAAGGATATGGATGACATGAACTCGGTTTTGGAATGTTAAAATGAGATTCAAGGGTTTATTTTGTATTATGTCGAATTGCAAATGGTGTTAATGAACTAAATGATGTTGTACTATGATGAATTATGTTTGAATTACGTGACTTGTGTAGGATTAGCTACAAGGACGGACCATGCACCTGAACACTGTGAATAGTAGTACGCTTTACCACCGCTAATGCTTGCCATTAGTATTTTGTTAATTTCGTTACTTAGGTATGTAAATGATTCAAGGAAGATAAATGTTATATGTATGTAAATGATTCAAGGAAGATAAATGTTATATATATATAAATGATTCAAGGAAGATAAATGTTATATATATATAAATGATTCAAGGAAGATAAATGTTATATATATATAAATGATTCAAGGAAGATAAATGTTATATATATATAAATGATTCAAGGAAGATAAATGTTATATATATATAAATGATTCAAGGAAGATAAATGTTATATGTATATATATATATAAATGATTCAAGGAAGATAAATGTTATATATATATAAATGATTCAAGGAAGATAAATGTTATATATATATAAATGATTCAAGGAAGATAAATGTTATATATATATAAATGATTCAAGGAAGATAAATGTTATATATATATAAATGATTCAAGGAAGATAAATGTTATATATATATAAATGATTCAAGGAAGATAAATGTTATATATATATAAATGATTCAAGGAAGATAAATGTTATATGTATATATATATATAAATGATTCAAGGAAGATAAATGTTATATATATATAAATGATTCAAGGAAGATAAATGTTATATATATATAAATGATTCAAGGAAGATAAATGTTATATATATATAAATGATTCAAGGAAGATAAATGTTATATATATATAAATGATTCAAGGAAGATAAATGTTATATATATATAAATGATTCAAGGAAGATAAATGTTATATATATATAAATGATTCAAGGAAGATAAATGTTATATGTATATATATATATAAATGATTCAAGGAAGATAAATGTTATATATATATAAATGATTCAAGGAAGATAAATGTTATATATATATAAATGATTCAAGGAAGATAAATGTTATATATATATAAATGATTCAAGGAAGATAAATGTTATATATATATAAATGATTCAAGGAAGATAAATGTTATATATATATAAATGATTCAAGGAAGATAAATGTTATATATATATAAATGATTCAAGGAAGATAAATGTTATATGTATATATATATATAAATGATTCAAGGAAGATAAATGTTATATATATATAAATGATTCAAGGAAGATAAATGTTATATATATATAAATGATTCAAGGAAGATAAATGTTATATATATATAAATGATTCAAGGAAGATAAATGTTATATATATATAAATGATTCAAGGAAGATAAATGTTATATATATATAAATGATTCAAGGAAGATAAATGTTATATATATATAAATGATTCAAGGAAGATAAATGTTATATGTATATATATATATAAATGATTCAAGGAAGATAAATGTTATGTGTTTGTGTAAATGATTCAAGGAAAGTACATAAGTAAGAGAAAGAATGAAACAACCCTCCTATGATTCTGGAATTCTGTAAGACTCTGAAATAAGTTTGCTATGATAATGTTTGGGCTAAATGCCAACAAGTTTAATGCCAATACATGTAAGAGCTAAAGGCCAACAAGTCTAAATAATCAAGAAATGCTCTAGTTATGATTTGTTACGTTTGAATTAATGAATTCATGATATCCTTAGCATGTGGTCCTTACCGGGGGTAATAATACTGTGGTTTAAATAATTAAGTTACAAGTTTATGTACGTTACAAGTTTAAGTATGTTATAGATTTAAGCATGTTACAAGCATAGGTATGTTACAAGTTTATGTATGTTCTAAGTTTAAGTTTGTTACAAGTTTACGCATGTTACAAGTCCATGGGTGTTACAAATTCAAGTATGTAACGAATATGACTTCTGATTTCTGTTTATGATTCAAGCATAACGAATATGTATGATTTGTTTCCGTTTATGATATGACATGATATGTACGGTTTGGTTTGGAAAACCTATTAATTACTGTATGGAACAAAGTGCTACTTGGAACTAAGTGCTACATTGTGAGCCACCGCTAGAGTTCATGTGAGACACCTCTTGAGTCCATACATATGTGAAAATTATGAGGCTGAAAGCCATTCTGTGAAAGTTATGAGGCTCATGGCCATCTGTATAAGTTGTTATGAAATGAAACAAAGTGCTACACGGAACTAAGTGCTACGATGTGAGTTACCTCTAGAGTCCGTGTGAGACACCTCTTGAGTTCATATATCTATATGTTCAAGGGCTGTAATGCCATTCTGACAAGGGCTTCATGCCATATGTACAAGGGCTATATGCCACCATGTTTAAGGGCTCCATGCCATATGTTCAAGGGCTATATGCCATTATGTTTAAAAGCTTAATGTTAATGTGTTCAAGGGCTTAAAACCATTATGACTCACGATTGGGGCCTAAGGCCATTTAAAATGAAAACAGGAACAGATTAACTACATGATCTTCGCATTTATTTATGCATTGTTATCTATTATGTTTAAATTGTGCATTTATGTATCATACTATTCACTGAGCGTGGCTCACCCTATGTTATGTCTGTTTCTGTAGGTAACCAACCAAGTGGTCAGTCCTAAACCATGACGCTTGTCCTCTTTGGTCAACCTTTCCATGTCCAAGCCTAAGAGAAGCGGCTCTTATTTTCATGAAGTTTTGACGAACTTTGGTTTTGCACTCTAGTTGTTGGCCCAAGGTTGAAATGTGTATAATACTTTCTTCCGAAACGTTTTTGGTGTATGCCCAATTATAGAGCTGGGCTTGTATATATGTGCGTATATATCTGATATTCAGGTGTATGTTTTAGATTTTATTTGTCTGTTTAAAGTTTGTGATCCTGGCATGATAGTAGTAGCTCAATGGAGTTTGTTTCTATTGTCAAATTTTGATATTTAATGCTTCCGTTCAGGCCCCATATATTATATATATAACAGGTTAAGTGTCCGTTTCTGAAGTGGTCATGCCCAAACTTTTAGGGGCGGGTTTGGGGTGTGACAAAAAAACTCAATCATTGACTATAGCAATCTCAACAAAAGATTGGATTATGGAGAAAGAGAGTCAATGTTGGAGCTTGAAGTTTGTGATATTGCATTGTCTCATGACAATAATAAGTCTGTGAACTTGTCAAACAGAGCATCTACATCATCAAATAGGAATTCGTGGTTGGAGGTTGAAGAAGAGGTTGATATGTTATCATCATTTTGTCGACACTAGGAAAGGTACTGTTGTTTGCTGGTTGGGCAATTAGTATTAGACATATAGGACAGAAATTTGAAGGTGGAATTGTTGAATTTCGTAATGCATTGTCAAAGTTTTCTATTGAGTGTGGATTTGGGTTCATATTTGTTACGAATGATAAAGTTCATGTTACCGCACAATGTTTGTTTGAAGAGATAAAAGGTTGTATGTGGAATGTTCATGGTAGAGTGAAGAATGCTAATGGGTTCTTTTATATAAAGAAGCTCAACAATGTCCACACATGTGGTACTAAAGTAAGTACAATGAATCATTCTCATATGAGTTTTGATTTAGTTGCTGATTTGATTGTTGAACGTGTTCGTGATAATCTATTGACATATCCAATTCATGTTGTTCGGGATTTTAAGTTGGGGTATGGGTTGAGAGTTAGTTATCGTCAAGCTTGGATGGAGGTAGAGAAAGCAAATGGTGATATTTTTGGAGACTACTTAATGTCATTTGACCAGTTAAGATGGTATATTGATGTTGCAAAGAGTTGCAATCTAGGGACTTACATTGACTTTGAGTGTGACGATGATACTAAACGGTTTAAGAGATTATTTGTTCCTTTTCATGGTTCCATTAGTGGATTTGATTATTATCGACCTCTCTTGTTCCTTGATGGCTCATTTTTGAAGAGAAGATTTAAAGGAAATTTACTTACCGCTACAGGAAAAGATGGAAATCAAGGTACACAAGAAATCTATTTTCTCTATTCTGGAATTGAGAAAGTTCTCAATTTAGAAATATGATTGAATTTTTAAAATTTTATATAATATTGTTGTTGTATATGCATTTTTTATTTTTACAGTTATTCATTTTAGTGTTTGATATTTTGAATGTTAAAGTGTTACCATTTTCTAAGAATAATAAAATATTCTCATTTTTTTTTGTTTTGTTTTGTACATGCAGGTTTCTTTCCTTCTTCTTCTTTTTTTTTTTTTGGCAATTGTTGGCTCAGAGAATCAAGACAACTGGCGTTGGTTTTTGGAGCATTTGAGTACAATTGTTTCACTAGAACGAGATATTATATTCGTGTCAGATCATAACCTTAGATTAGTTGAAGTTTTGTCAAAGGTTTTCCCAATGGCTTTTCATGCTTATTGTTTATATCATTTGAAGATGAACTTGAGGCATCATTTGCGCGGTATGTTTCTTGGATTGAAAGAAAAGCTAATCACTTTGTTTGGGAAATGTGCATATGCTCCAACTGAAGAAACATTTCATCAATGTTTGGTTGAGTTAAAGATTGAAGGTGGGTCAAAAGTTGAAAAGTTTTTAGATGACATACCATATGATCATTGGAGTAATGTATATTTTCGAGGGCAATGCTTTGGAGAGATGTGGTCGAATGTAGCTGAATCTTTCAATTCGTGGATACGGGAGGAACGCCATTTGCCTATCACAAAGTTGATTGATAGTATAAGAATTAAGTTAATGAGGAAAATCACTAAGAGGAGGGAGCTTGTTAATAAATGGAATGATGTGATATGCCCCAAAATGGAGTCCAAGTTGCATGATGCTTTTAATACTTCGAGGCCATGGATTGTTAGTTCATCTGGGAATGATGTTTATGAGGTGCATTCACATTTATCTGTTTCAGTTGACATTAGTAGACGAATATGTTCTTGTGGTGAGTGCCAGTTGAAAGGTTTTCCATGTGTATATGGAGTTGGTGCTGTTGGAGAAAAATGGTTGAATAAGAAATTGCCTCATAAATGTGTATATAACTCACACATTTAAGGCTTATCAGTTTTACAAAATTGATTGGGCAGTTTTGCTAGCATTAGTTGCCAACCTTGATGGCTAGAGGCTCCTTCCCTCTTCCCCATGGTGTATAAAAGGAGGCCCTATTCCTTGAAAAGAGATATAGAATTTTTCCTTGACATCCATACACTATCAGTCTACTTCTCCTATAATTTTCTTCCTGAGAGGGAGTGCTGCCGTTGTCCATTCGCTAAGCTAATCAGAAGGTGCTTCTGTTGTAGCTGGTAAAAACCGTCATATCCTGGGAAGTAGACGCCCGCGTACCTCCAGCACCCAACGGTGAGGCGGCGAATCTAGTTTAAGGAGACTGTGGTATCACACAGGCTTCGGTTTACTTCCTTTAACCATTTTATATTTTATCAGTATTTTATTCAGCATGTTATTTTTCCTGGGATTCAAGGTTTGTTTTGTTCATCTCATAATTTTGCGACATGCAATGTGAAATTATGTATTGTGATTAGTTTTTTCCAACAAGCTTAAAATAAATTCGACGTTTATCACAGAATTAGATTAATAGATTCATAGGTGTGTGTAATAATTTTGCATGTAATTGGCCACTGGTAGTACTAGCGAGTTAATTGGTTTATTAGATGCATGTACACAGGGTTAAGCTTTTGATTTTGCCATTTTGTGTATGCTACTGTTTGGTCTTCCCATGGCATGGAATAGGCCACTGTTATCAATAGGAAAAAAGAGTTCCATTGGTGCAATGTTAATTCACTGTATTTTTTAATTAATTTATTAATTTATGGTGTACCGGTTCATGCCTTGTATTTCTAGATTTACATGCTTCTAGTTCACATGCTTCTAGTTTACAATATAAATTACATGTTCATTCGGGTTTAATTTTTAGTATAATTTACATTTCTAGCATGTTTGTTAGGTAGTAAATTTTCATGTAACTTTTACCTATTAATCTTTAATTTAGGTGTGGAGTTGTAAAATTTATAACTTGCCTATATTTAAATTCATGTTAATTTCTCTAGAATTATTTGCATGTTAATCATGTCATTTGGAATTTTTCCCTAGTAATGTGATTTAAGTATTTAGGAGTTATAAAATGTTTGTAACTTGCCTCAATTAATTGCATGTTTAGTGTACCATAAGTTCATATGTAACCTTTACCAATTTAAAATATGGTTTAGTTATATTTAATTTAGGTCTGTAACTTATATAGTTAATTACATGTTTATTATGTAATTAATTTTTTACAGTTTTTTTTTTTAGTTTAAATTCTAGATGTGTAACTTAAGGGTTGGTTTTAATCTTTATTTACAGTTATTTATTAGTTTGTTTGCTAGTACCCTTCCCTTCAATCACTACTTTGCCAAAAGCAAAGAAAAGCTGAGGGAGGTTTTGTTGTATTTTGCTGCTAACTCTTTATTGCAGGAATACCTATGGAAATGGGAAAAAGGATTAATTTGGACTAAATATTTGAAGCAATTGCTTGCTTGAGTGTTCATTTGTGGTTATTCACCAATATGTAAAGCACGTTTTATTTGCTTGTAATTATTGTAGCAATTTTGTTGTAATTGCTTGTATAGTTTGGAACTTGGTGTGTTTAACCTAGTTCATCCCTTGGAAAATTTAATTCTTAAAGTTGTTTCCCATGGACTAGGAGTCAACATGCTCTTGAAAGTTTTGTCTAAGGTTAACTGGGTTTTAAGTGGGACCGGTGTGACCCCTCCAGTCTTCCTGGAAACTTTCCTGACCATGTTCGATTCTAGGTTGCGTGGTGAGACTAGTTTTGAATTAAACTTCCAATTGTGGGATTTTCTAGTGTTAAGTTTGATTTCTGGAAATACAGAATAGTGAAAATTCTGCTGTAATTTTCAGAAATGGCAACTGTCTCTGATGCTGCTACTGCTGCTACTAATGTTGGTGGGGATCCGAACCCCGGGGCGACTGGCTTGCCAACCCCTGCTGTGACCTCTGTGGTCAATCCTCTTATTGTTACTCCGGCTGTTCTGGGAGGACCGCTCAATCATCACGAGCGCCCAGAGAAGTTCACGGGAGTGAATTTCAAGAGATGGCAGCAGAAGATGCTGTTTTATTTGACTACTCTAAGCCTTGCAAGGTTTCTGAGTGAAGATGTACCAGCCGTAGAGGAGAATGAGCAAGATAAACAAAAGCTCATGGCTCTGGATGCTTGGAAACAAGCAGACTTCTTATGCCGGAATTACATTTTGAACGGCTTGGCAGATCCACTTTTCAACGTGTTCTATGCCAAGAAATCGGTTAATGAGTTGTGGGATGCCTTGGACAAAAAGTACAAGACCGAGGATGCTGGGGTAAAGAAATTTATCGTCGGCTGGTTCCTAGACTTCAAGATGGTGGACTCTAAAACTGTCCTGAGTCAAGTCCAAGAGTTCCAAGTGATTCTGCACGAGATACATGCAGAAGGGATGGTCTTAAGTGAGTCATTCCAGGCAGCTGCTTTGATTGAGAAGCTTTCTAACGGCTGGAAAGACTTCAAGAACTACTTGAAGCACAAACGAAAGGAGATGACAGTCGAAGAGCTCGTTGTCAGGCTCCGGATTGAAGAGGACAACAGGAAGAAAGGAGAGAGTACCTCCACTGTCAAAGCCAACATGGTTGAGCATGGCGAGTCCTCGGGGGCAAGGAAAAAACCACCGATAGGCAAAAGCTCAAAGTTGGGGGCTAGAGGAGGAATCTCCAAAAGGCCAGCCTACAAGCCAAAGGAGCCTACTTTTAGGTTCGATGGCAAATGCTTCAACTGTGGAAGTGACGGGCATCGGGCAGTTGATTGTCTGAAGAAGAAGCTCTACAGGAAAAACCCTCTGCAACACAAAAATCGGGTACATATGGTTGAAATGGAGGAATTGTCACACGATGTGGACGACATGCATCTGTCAGCCGTCGTGTCAGAAGTGAACATGGTGGGGTCAACCCCGAGGGAGTGGTGGGTGGATATTGGGGCCACTCGCCATATTTATGCAGAGAAGAGAATGTTCACAACTTTCGAACCGGTTTCAAACGGGGAGAAGTTGTTTATGGGAAACTCTGCAACCTCAGCTGTTGAGGGTAAATGCAAGGTGATCCTGAATATGACTTCAGGGAAAGAACTGACTTTGAACGATGTCCTTTTTGTGCCGAACATTCGTAAGAACCTTGTCTCGGGGTCTCTCCTAAGCAAGCATGGCTTCCGCATGGTGTTTGAATCAGACAAGGTCGTGTTGACCAAGGACGGGGTCTATGTGGGGAAGGGATATATGTTAGGTGGTATATTTAAATTGAATGTAATGACACTTATCCCTAAGATTAATGAGAAAGCTTCTTCTTCTGCTTATATGCTTGAGTCCCCTAATTTATGGCATGGTAGATTGGGCCATGTAAATTTTGACTCTTTACGTAGATTAATCAAGTTAGATCACATACCATCTTTCAAGATTAATCCACAACACAAGTGTGAAACTTGTGTAGAAGCAAAATTGACAAGGTCTTCTTTTCATTCTATTGAAAGAAGTACCCAGCCTTTGGGTTTAGTGCATAGTGATGTGTGTGACTTGAAAGTTGTACAATCACGTGGTGGCAACAAGTACTTCATCACTTTTGTTGATGATTGCACTAAATACTATTATGTGTATTTGCTTAAAAGCAAAGACGAGGCTATTGATAAATTTATTATTTTTAAGAATGAAGTTGAGAATCAATTAAGCCGGAAAATTAAGGCATTGAGAAGTGATCATGGTGGTGAGTATGAATCCCCGTTTGCCAAGACTTGTGCTCAATTTGGGATTATTCACCAAACCACAGCGCCTTATTCGCCTCAGTCAAATGGTGTTGCTGAGCGGAAGAATAGGACGTTGAAAGAGATAATGAATGCAATGTTGATAAGTTCTGGGTTGCCACAGAACTTATGGGAGGAAGCAATTCTCTCCGCGAATTATATTCTTAATAGAATACCACGGAAGAAAGTGGACAAGACTCCATATGAGTTATGGAAAGGTCACAAGCCTTCATATAAATACCTACGAATGTGGGGGTGTTTTGCAAAAGTGGTGGTACCTACACCCAAGCGGGTTAGGATAGGTCCGAAAATCGTGGACTGTATTTTCATTGGTTATGCACAAATAGTAGTGCATATAGATTTCTTGTGCACAAGTCTGATATTTCAGATATACACAAGAATACTATCATGGAATTTAGAAGTGCATCTTTCTTTGAAGATGTATTTCCGTGTCATCCCCAAGACAGGGTTCCGAGTTCCATGAAAGAAATAGATGATCACGAAGACGATCACATGGATGATCAAACAGCTGATCAAACAACTGATCAAGTAGATGATCAAGCTGATGAAGTAGATGAGCCAAGAAGGAGTAAAAGGGCTAGAACCACAAACTCTTTTGGTCCAGACTTCTTGACTTATATGTTAGAGGGAGAATCTCGAACGTTCCATGAAGCTGTGACTTCACCTGAAAGTCCTTTATGGAAAGAAGCAATTAAGAGTGAGATTGACTCCATCTTATAGAACCATACTTGGGAGTTGGTTGATCTACCCCCAGGCAGTAAGGCCTTGGGGAGTAAGTGGATCTTTCGAAGAAAGATGAAAGCGACTGGGTCAATTGACAAATATAAAGCTCGGCTAGTTATCAAAGGATACAAATAGCGAGAAGGCCTGGATTACTTTGATACGTATTCACCTGTGACAAGGATTACATCTATTCGCATGGTGATTGCAATAACAGCTTTACGTGGTTTAGAAATATATCAGATGGATGTAAAGACAACTTTCTTAAATGGAGATTTAGATGAAGAAATCTACATGGAGCAACCCGAGGGGTTTTCAGCTCCAGGAAAAAGTAAGAAAGTGAGATATTCTGAGTGAGAACACTCTCACCATTATTCTTGGTCAAATATAGACTTAAGTGTTCTAACCAGAGTCGTCCTAAACATACTTTGCTATCTGGCTTTACCAATTTCTCAAGTATCTTATTAACATATGAGGCTGAGAAAGTACAATACCACCAAGATTGTTCTGGTGATGTCTTAACGACCCAAATACATCTTGCAAGCGCCATATCTTCTCATTCAAACTTAGACGTTTAACAATCTTTTGGTAGCTTAATCATGTTCATATCATTTGCTTCACCAGACAATGAGTATAGATTATCAAACGTTAAGACACAAAATGACTGAACCTTTGTAAGTGCTTTAGACATATACGGCACTGATCAACACTCATGTGGGTGATCGACCCATTTGACAACATAGCATTCTTCAAACTTCTCATGCCATTGTTTGGGAGCTTGCTTCAAACCATACATGACTTGACAGCTTTACAGACT